TTGTAAAAACTGATTCTGGTTCTTCACCTGTTTTCTTGCTCTTGTTCTGTTCCCATATATATCACTTGCATACTGGATATATATCGAGACGTTACTTTACGGTAAAGTTAGCAACATGAGCAATCGTTACTACGATACTTTAAAGTAAGTTAACAACATAGCACATCGCTACAATTATGCACATCTCGTGTGACACGCACACACACCTGTTAAAGGGTTCGTGTCACCCCGTTACACATGACAACTGCGGACACTACTTTGCTGCTTAGCGTACAGAATATCACTAACTCTTCTTAAGCACCCGGGCTGAGATCCATCACGCTCATAAACTCGCTGCTTCTGTCCTCAACTCCTGGATATGAAAACATCAAAATTTCTTTCCTTGATGGGTGGCAACGTTTAAATTTCTTTTGCATTTCTTTTGCATCGGTATTCACCATGATGCATTTCCATCATGGCTGAGATACCGTAAGCTAGTGTCCATACTCGCGTGGATCGGCAGTTGCTAACCCAACGCGTTCTTGCTCGAACAGGGGCAGAGGTAAGTCCAAAACATCTCAGTTTCTCGTATCAAGTGAAGAATATTATTTCAGCGTTAACCCCTATAAAAGCTTGGTGCTAATCAAATACGACCTCGCTATATAGATCTCCATAGGGGTCGATAGTGCTCGTATCAATGGCTGGCTAAGTCGTCCCTGCAGCCCGCCTTCTTGTGATACCTCCAGTCAAGGAGTCACTAGTTCCGATCCTTAGGCTGTCATTTGCGCTAACCTTTAAGAAACATATTGAGTCAAAAGTTAAGCCAAAATGTAATTAGGCCTGTCTTGCTGACATGAGGAAGACTCAAGTCCATCCACACAAGTCGTAAATCGACTTGATTATCGGATTGATAAGTGCTGCTGAGTCCAGCATATTTACCTTGCACCTTTAAAAAAAACATTTTGACTCTCAGAATTTGCGTCTCACCGCTCGTGTCAGTCAGACGATTGCCTCACGGCCGTCCATAGGGTCATGATCCAGAGCTAACCAAGGACTCGTACGCTCCGAATAGGAGCAAAGCCGAGAGCCTTTACCGTAACTAGGTGTGCAGTTTGCTTTGCTACTAAATATATAAAAGTCGAATACTACTTAGACCAATACCATCTCCAATAATCCAACTGTTTCAGATGTTTGACGTATTACTTGCAGTCAACGCATACCACGGATACCACCATTACGAAATCTTATCGTCGTCATTGTAAATAACGATTCTTCGGTACTAATGCACACTAAAAGTCGCACAAAAGGCAAAGTGTTTTTGTGCAATCAAGAACTAGCGATTTTTTACAGTTGTACGATAGCAGAATCATGTATATACACAAGTTACAGTACTTACCCTGATACACCCCATCATTACATTGTACACTTCTTTTGTCTTGGAGCGTAACTCCACATTTTGCACTCTTTTGTGCCTGATCGGCAGAGTATACTTGAACCAAGGGTATTCGCCCGAGAACTTAGACAAATGACTCAGCGAGCCATCAGAAACGGTCCTCACAGCCGAAGCATTCAACGCAATCTTCGAGGAGAATGTATTGGTATCCTCCGATGAAAACGGTAGCAACGACTCAGGGTCCTAGCAGTCGTCACCCGATGATACATGACATAGCCGTTTACCAAGGCGGGGGGGGGCGTCGTTGTACTTAGCCTCCACTCTGGCAAGTTATATAATCCACTTTCTTTTATCGCGGTGAGAAGTGTTGCAACACCTCGCCGTGGAGCTCGCAATGATGTTCATCTTTTCACCGATACGCTAGATTTGACCCGTGGAGATCAGCTTGCCCAACTGCAAGTGAGAGAGTCACACCAGCTTTTGCCCAGATAATCACGCCATAACTATGTTTAAAACGGTCTGAAGTTGCCAATCTCGCTAGAGCGGAGTCCACACATACAAATGCGTGCGATCCGTTTGTTCAAAGCAAAA